ACCATCCTCACAGCCAGGAATTCCTTCCCAATATCCCATCTAAGCCTGCCCTCTGGCAGTGGGAATCCATTCCCTCTTGTCCTGTCACTCCAGCCCTTGTTCAAAGAAGGGAAGGCTCTGAGAAGATCTCAGAACCCCTTCCAGTGCCTAAAGGGGCTCCAAGAGAGCTGGAGAGGGACTATGGACAAGGGCAGGTGATTTGATGATTGTAAGATCTGTGTCTTAGAAGAAACCCCAGTAATCAATCAAAGACCCATTTGATTTTCTACAGCGCTGGACGTGACATGAGGAATTGCCAGATGTGCAGGTACCAGGGTGAGAAGCTGAGAAAAGCTCAAATAGGGCTGGAGGAGTGGCTGGATTCCATGGGAGTTCAGGGGAAACCCGTGAGGGACGCAGGAGGGATGCTGCAGATAACTGGGGCCAGGGACCTTGTGGGGCAGAATAGGACAACAGTTCCCAGGTCACCATATCAGTGACACCATGGAAAGGCAGGTGAGCAGGGAACCCAACTGGAAGGACTAGATTTAGATATGAATGAGCAAAACTGGGACCAAAGGGGAGGATGTAATTAAAGGCCAGTTGTTTCTCTTGGGGGGGGAATAGTGAAGTTACAGTCAATGTCAATTCATATTTAGGTGCAGCTGCCAGAGCAGGAGTGCAATATGGGGTTGCAATAGAGCTCCAAATTTACCCTCATTGCAGCCGTTTTGTATGGAATATGGAATTCTAGTTTCTGCATGGAGAGATGTGATTAGGACAGGGATGATGTGCTGCTGGAGATGCTGGAGACAAACTCCATGGAATGGACAGTGAGTTTGGAGTCATTTAATCTGTATATAGTGAGAAGATGTCACAATATTACTGATATGGAGAAACCACTGGGATGGCCAGAAAAGGAACCTCCATGAGCCTGCCTTCCCAGCAGATAAGATACAGATGCCAATTATCTGAGCACTTATTTGTAGCCTTCACTCTCGAGGAGAAAAGGCAACGCAGAAAGAACCGTGTTTTGCAGAATATACCATCCAAAGAGTCTTTCTGCTGTGCCTTTTGCAATCGGACGTGTCTGTCTCGTATTGGCCTTTAAGTCCCCAACGTGCCTGTAACAAACGTGGACAGAGCCTTCCCAAACCTTCGTTCGCGAAGCCCGGCCATGATGACGAGATTTGTAGCCTGCTTTCACTTCCGAGTGAAATAGGCTGATTTCAGTAACGCTTTAATTACTCCCTTGGGTACAAGGTGTGAAAGCACCTTGGGCCTTGGTCACCTCATGGGGTAAAAGGAAAAGCAGAGGAAAACTCAAAGGAGGGGAATGAGGTTGGGGTAGGGGCAGGTGGTGTCTGGCTGCAGAAAACAAGGAATTGGCCCTTTATAGTGGGGAGGGGATATTTACTTTGTCCCTACAGAAAGGGCTGTGGGATGCTGGGTCTCCATAAGTCAGGAAGGCTCTCTGGGGGCTGGTACAGACTTTGCAACAGGCTTTAGTGTGTGTTTTGGTTTAGGTGTGTGGTTCATTTTTCATAGCAGGACCTGCTCTGTGTCCAGGTGCAGTCAGCTATGGGCTGTTCCCATCTGGATAAGCTCTTTCCTGCGGTGTCAAGACATGATTCAGTAGGACACATGGACCTGGAGGCCAGTGAGGTGGCTTTGCCCAAGGCCCTAATAAGATGGGCAAACCAAACTCCCGTGGTGATGGCTGTGGCATGGGGGGATCCTGCACTACTCTGGCTTTGAGGTCTTTCATGGTGTCACTAATGGTGACTGTAAGCATAGAGTCAACCAAACCCACACGTACCAGCAGCAGAAGTTGCACTGAATTACAAGCACAGCTTTATCTCCTCCAGCCATTTGTTTCCAGAAGCAGCTGGTGGCAGGAGGACAAGGCTGGAAACCAGCGTTCTCCACCCTCTGGTTCCCCAGAGATGACTCCACACAGCTAAATTTGTGGTTTGCAGCTTCCATGGCAGCCCCTTCTCTGTCAGCAGACAGTCCTTAAAGAGAATCCTATTGGTATTCCAGACACCTGCCTGCTGTTATATATGGAGGGAAATGCAGGGAAGAAGCACGGGAATCCCTCACCTTGTGCACCAATACCAGACGGGATTGACTCCTGAAATCAAGAAAACTTGCATTTAGCAGGACCTGAGGGGCAGGCTATGCAGGTTCACACCTAGAGCTGTGTCCTGATACAACATTCCCTTTCCCTCCAACTCCCAGAGCACGTCTGTGAGTCACTGCTGCTACACAAGACATTCAGCTGTAAGAGCCTTTCTTGTAAACCTTCCACCCAGCCAGTTGTTCTCTGTCTCTGTGCAACCTTGAATATCTTTGCATCCTCCCTGTATATTTAACCGTGTTATTTCTATGCCTATTTATAACAAAATCAAAGAATCGTTGCATGGTTGGGGTTGGAAGGGACCTTAAAGACCACCTAGTTCCAATCCTACATGAATAATTCCTAAATAAATATCCCTAAATAAAAACCCTAAAAAAGTTATCTCCACTGATCAAGTTCCTGTGTTTACTTTTGTCTGATGGGGTAACTACTGCCCATGTGCTACTCGGGGTTCAGTTGTGTAAATTATATGGAGATGATAAACCTGGTAGTAAACTTGGCCCAAGGAAACTAAATGTGGAGAAAACAGATACTTTAAACCCAGGAAAGGACCCGGGTATTGAGCCTGTGTAAGGCTGCACTTCCTGAACCCCCCATGCTGACCCAGGACAAGGCTGTTCCTGAGGTGCCACGGGGCGCAGCCAAGGCCCCTTCTCCAGCTGTACCTGTTGCACAGGTGGGAGAATGAGGCTGAGGTCTGGCACTACCCTGGCTCTAGGAAAAGGAATTCCACCCTCTCCCTGCTGAGGCTGCACCTCTTTCCCTGGGCTGGCACAGCATGGTGCCCATCCACTAAGCCAGACCAAGGAAAACCTGTTTGGGCTACAGGAAATGGGATCAGTTTTTACCAGTCAAACTATATTTTTAAAAACTTAATAATATAAACAAAATAGTGTTGGAGTTTTTTTTTAAACAGAGTCAAGTGAGGAAAGCCAAGAGGCTGAAGATCTTGCTGGTATCCTGCTGGTATCACTGTGTTTCATATTGGATTTTTTCCCATCCCTGAATTTTGATATTCTCACAACTGGCATTGATTTGGGTGAGCATTAATTTCTGCTCCCAAAAGCAGGAAAATCAGAAGCATTTTTGCACCACCAAAGTGTTGGTACCAAAATTGCAGACTTCACACAGAGCAAACCACAGTGACTAAAGGCTCTAAAATGTAAAGTAAACTTTATTATCCTTGAACCACAAAATAGATTTCTTTGGTTGTACAAATTTCACTAGTTACAGTCTTGATGCGCTAATTTTCCCTTGGAGTCTCTCGGGAGAGAACGGGAAAGAACCCAGAGCCTGGCACCAGGTACCGCACAGGGAAAGGAGAGAAGAATCACAAGTTAGTCACCAAAACCCAGCCAGGATTGTTTCCAAAACTGCTGTTGTTAAAAAGCAAATGCTAAAATTAGATTTAAAAAGGAAAAGCTCAAATTGCTGATGATGGAAGCAGCCATGGCTGCAGTGAGAGATTATCAGAGTTTCCCCTTCACAGATCTGTAAAATCAAAGCATACGGTGCCAGTTAAAACGATCCACTGGATTTTGGCATGAAGGGAGAGGCTCAACAAAAAAACTGCATCCAGTTCTTTCCTTCAGCAAATGTACAAGCAGATGTGCCTGTCGCTGCCCAGCCACTGTCAGGCTCAAGGTCCAACCCTGGTCTTGCTGGGGAGTCAGAGAGCACCAATGGACGGGGAATGGGATCGGGCCAAGCTCGGACCTTCCTCCCAGTTAGAGGCAGTGAAAAAAAAAAAAAGAAAAGGGCTGTTTCCCCTCAGTAGTGGCAGCAGAGGTTGATGGCAGAGCTGGGAGCAGCAGCTGTGACCTCCACATCTGCAGAGCTCACGTGATACAGAACCTGCTCGCAGCCCCCGTTCCACATGTGGAAACCAGAACTCACACCCAGGACTCGCACCCCCGCTCATTTTTCATTTTCCTTTTTCCCTCTTGCATGGGCAAACATTCATTGTCCCTCTTCTCCACAGAAAGGGGCCTGAAGCCAACAAGCTGGCAAAGTGGAACTGTGTAGTTATTGCAAGGCACAGGCCAGCCCCGTCCTGCTCCGTGGTGCTCCTGGTGCTCCCTGCCAGCCCCATGCCAGGCACCCTGTGACGCTCCACTCCGCCTCGCGGCCAGCCATGGACACTGTGGACTCCCCACCAGATTTCCTACCTCTAAGACCCCGTAATTCCCAACTTGACCCCAGCAACGCCACATCCTACCCATTCCCAGTTTCTGAATCCTACCCACTAAGGTACTGCTGTCACACCTCCCACCTCTGCCACCGTGTCCTACCCCAACTATCCTGCTCCCCATTGCTGTCACACCCCCCCCAAACCCCTGCTACAGCTGTTGGCTCCGTCCCATTCCTGCCCCAGTCCACCAGTTCAGCCCCAGTGCTACAGAAGACAGAGCCTGGCCTCCTCTGACACTTGTGTGCTCGTGGAGCTGCTCCCACCACGTGTGACACACAGCGACGTGTCCATCCAGGGAAGGACCTGTCCCTAGGACTGCACAGAGTCCCAGCAGGAGCAGTGTCCTACCTGGACAGAGGAAGTGGCACAGAGCTGGCCCAGGCTTTGGCATGTTCCTTGAGCACAGAGTGTCAGTGGCAGAGGGAGGCACTTTGCTGGAATTCTGCAGGTTTTTTTTCCTTTGTATTTTCTTTTTTTTTTTGCCTCCAAGCTTCCCATTCCCACACGGTCCCAAAGGGAAGTGAGGTGACACAGTGCAGGAGGTGGGAGGAGATGCTTTTTGGCAAAAAACTGAAAATTAAACAGGAGTAAAGGCAGGCTGGACCTTCCTCCTGATTCCCACCAGAGGAAAAGCTCCTTTTAACCACTACAAAAACGAAGTTGAGGCAGTAACAGTTGGAGCCCAACACACTCTCACACTCCTACATTCTCCCTGTCCTACCCTTCCCCACACACAATATTTACAGGCTAACGAGCTGCCCGCTGTCCTGCCCACCCCTGCTCTCCATCTGCCAGCAGTCAGTCCAGTGTTGCCCCGTTTTCGGGACGTGCCCCAGTGCGCTGTCGGGTGAGAAACGAGGGTGGTTCACAGCCTCGGAGGAGTCAGTTGGCCACAGAGCTCCCGGGGTGCTCAGGTCCCATCCAGTCTGGAGGCGGCAGGGTGGCAGCCCGGTGCTGTCCCTGGAGCACGGGCAGCTCGGAAGGGCTGTGCCGGGCTCGTCCATCGCCCGGGTGTGTCGGGTCACCTACGTGGGGACAGCGGTCTCCAAACTGCGCCGGCTGTGTCGGAGCTTGCGCTTGCTGCTGTACAGGGCCATGTCCTCCAGGGCTGAGGGAGTTGGTGCTGATGGATCCCGTGTTCCTAACGTGTCCTCTTCCTCTGGCTGCCCATCCTGCTCCCGGGGAACTGCAAAGACAAGAGATGTTTAGGTTTGAAGAGAAAGCATGGGGCTAAAATAGATAAGATATTGGGAAGGAATCCTTCCCTGTGAGGGTGGGGAGGCCCTGGCACAGGTTGCCCAGAGAAGCTGTGGCTGCCCCATCCCTGGAAGTGTCCAAGTCTGGGTTGGACAGGGCTTGGAGCAACCTGGGATAGTGGAAGGTGTCTCAGCTCAGGAAAGGGGTGGGACTGGGTGATCTGTAAAGTCCTTTCCCAACCAGACCATCCTGTGGTTGGGAAACCACAGTGCTCAGCTGGCACAGTTAATGCAGATGTTTAGGGTATCACAGGATCACAGACTGCTTTGGGTGGGAAGGGACCTTAAAGCTCATCTCATTCCACCCACTGCCATGGGCAGGGACACCTTCCACTAGACCAGGCTGCTCCACATCCCATCCAGCCTAGCCTTGGGCACTTCCAGGGAGTGTTCCAGGGTTATTTCCAGGTGCTAGATTTGGGACAGCACTGACATCTCAGTGACTCACAGTAACCTCGTGCCTAGGACCTTCTGGTATAGGTCATGTAGTGACCACTGTGGATCCTGGGGAGAAAGTCCCATGAGTAAGAAGACACCTGCCTCTAACACCCGCCATTCACTGGAAGATGACTGGAAGAGCCAAGCCTTAGGAAAAACTGAGTGTCCTGAAAGGCTTCTGCTGTCCAGACCATGGAGCTGCCCCGACCCAGGTCTGCAGGGGGTGAGTGAGTCCCTCTGTCAGTGAGGGGGAGGAGCATCTTTAGTCACAGACTGGCCCAGATGGTCAGGAGGGCTTTAAACTCACTGGCGTCACAGAGATATGGTGGGATGGTTCCTGTGACTGAAGCACTGGAGGCTCTTAGGGACAGACAGGCAGGGGAGATGAAGTGGGGGTCACACTCTATGTCAGTGCCCAGGTGGATGCTGGAACTGCACCTGGTGAGGGGTGAGAAGCCAACCAGAGCTCATGGGTCAGGATTGAAGGGACAGGTGACATTCCTGACCAAGAAGACTGAGTGGATGAGGACATAGACAGATGGGAGCAGCCTCATATTAACAAGCCCTGGTCCTCATGGGGGACTTCAACTACCCCAATAGCTGCTGGAGGGACAACCCAGCAGGGCATAGACAATCCATGAGCTTCAAGTGCAAATGGGCTCCTGGGAAGCCTCTCTAAAGCCTTTGGATGCAGCAGAGAACTTTAAATAGAGAAATTCATGAAGATATATCAGATAAAAGGCTCAGTCTGCTGAGCTGTGCCCAGTGTCTGACCCTCTGCTCCAGAGCCAGGCCAGTCAGTGGGAAGCCCTTCCTCTTTGTCCTGGCACTCCAGGCCTATGTCCAAAGTCCCTCTCCAGCTCTCTTGGATCCCCTTTAGGCACTGGAAGAGGCTCTAAGGTCTCCTCAGAGCCTTCTCTTCTCCACAGTGACCACTTCCAGCTCTCCCAGCCTGTCCAACCCCTTGACAGGACACTGGGGTTGGGAAGCAGGTGACTGATTCCCAGACAAGACAAACAGATATAAAAGGAAGTCATGGGCACATGCAGGAAAAATCCAGCCTGGGTGGATGGGTGGAGAAGAAAATCCTGTGGCTTAGAGGGAAGTCAGTTCTTTCAGACCCCCCAAGGCTGGAACTGGCCAAAAGAACCCCCAAACATGCAGGTTTAGTGATCCCCACGCAGCACACTGAGCTTTAAAAACCCTTGGATTGTTCCCTGGGCAAAGCTCTACTGAAAACAAGCTGCCATGGGGCAGCTTTGGTGGGCAAAGAAGTGGTGAAACCATGGGAAAAGGGCAGGAAGGGGCTACCTGATACCACCACACCCAGCAGCCAGGACCCTGCCAAAGTCAGTATGTGGCAATTAATGAGGAGGAGAAGGAGTGATGAAGGCTGTGCTGGGAGAAACTTGTGATGCCACCAAGCTGTATCAGGGAGTCAAATGAAGCTCAGCTATAAGTAACAAAGTGCATCATGATCCATGGAGTTCAGGGGGAAATGATGTGGAAGGGGAAATTTACTGCAAATGTGAATAGATTCAGGAAAGAAAGAACTCTAAAGTCAAAGCCTCTGGCTTAGAAAGTGCAAACCCACCGATCACTGCAGCCTGGAGCAGGTCTGGAAAGAACCACTTCCTGCTTTTCTTCTTTTATGTCCTTTTCTGGCATTCCCAGTGGCTCCCACTGGACCCCAGATCTGCTACAGGATCAGGCAGAGCCTTGTGCTGACTCAGTAAGTTCAGTTTTACAGTACTGGATGATGTTTAAACTCAATAAAAGGAACAGAATCCTGACTGCATAAAAAAATGCACTATCCTTAAATGAGATGATGGTTCTCTAGGCACTGGGAGAGCTTTCTGTAGACACTGGCAAAGTTTAAGACTTGCTATGAGTCAAAAAGCCATAATTCCATGATCAAGAACAATTCTGATTTATGTTGGCTGGGATGCTGCACTGCCTAGAAGAGTGAGATGGGGTGGGGAGATTTAAAAAAAACCAGGAGAGCTTTGTCCCATCCCAAGTTTACTTGCATTCTCACCTGCCATCCTTGCCAGCTGAGTTGGGAAAACCTGCATTTGTTTGGTGCCTCACACATATCACAGGTGACTTAAATATTACTTAAGGACTAAGGACCAGGTTAAAAATCTCTCAGTGAGCACCATACTCTTTTCTTCCTGGCTTTCACCCTATTTGAGGGCCCAACAGAGCAGTGTCAGGCAAGTGAGGTCTGAAGGCCCTGAGCAATGCCTGGTATTTTCCAAACCTACCATGAGCTCCCAGTTCCCTGCACTGACTGAATGGACAACCTCAAGAGAATAATCCAGGGCTGAGAGGATGACTCTGAGGGATGGAGAACAGCTGCTGTTCTCAGGAAAGTAAGTTTTTGTTAAGTCCTGCAGCAGAACCTTCTTCTGGAAACAGCCCAGCCATAGGTCAGCTGTCCAGGGTGCAGCCTGCACTCAGAAGGAATTGTCAAGATAGAAGAAACTGTTTCTTGTGCCAAATAAAGGGGGAAAATCTGCAAAACAGGTAGAAGCAAACCAGCACCAACTGTTGGAGAAACGGGAGTGCTCCTACGGAGCAAGCAGGCTCTGCTGAGCTCCACAGGGCTGCTACAGCCCCTGGAATGAACCGGGGGACAGTCTGACCTGTCCTTACAGCTGAGGACAGACAGACACACCCCAGCTGGACAGCCTGCAGATACAGCTGCAGAGCTTTAATTCCTGCTGACTGAGGTGACTATGCCACAGACCCACAGGTGTAACTTGGAGCCACCGAGGTACTGGAGCAGCAAGCACTCCAAGTCTGCACCAGGATGGATTTACCTCCACGATTCCCTCTCCAGCAGAAGGGGCACAAGGCAGCCCCTGAACAATGGACATCATTCACCTCCAGCAGGTGACAGAGCCCAAAACTTCCCCGCCACATCCTACTACCACTCTACTCCAGGACACAAATCTGGAGAAAACCAGGCATGCTTGTTACACACCATGCTGGGCAAATTAGTCATCACTAAAGCACAATGCAAATATCCTACCCAAAATGAATGCGGTGAGTGTGGAGTTTTCATTCTAGAACAGACAAAACAGGACATTGTGTCAAGCAGAAGAAGGTGAAGTCTTCTGGGTGGTCCCACAAGCAAAGGGGAACCCTCTAGAACCGTGGTGGGGAGCGAGTAGTACAGAGACAACTCCTCTGGCCATGGGCTTACCTGAATTATTTCGGTCGTCGACGTATCTGAGGTCATCAGCTGCATCAGGCGACTGGAAGAGAACAGCAAACGTGACCATCCGCCCCTGTAACCCCTCTGCCAGGTAATTCCCCACCTCCAGCCTTCCAACACCCTATGGAGAACCTGCTGCCCACAGAGGTGCTGGTGCTGCCAAAGCTGGGGCACGGCCCTCAGAGAGGGCTCCTGATTCCAAATGAACCCCTTGTGCTCCTGATTCCAAACGAACCCCTTGTGCTCCTGATTCCAAATGAACCCTGCTGCCTGACCTGTGTGTAGGGAGAAGAGGGAGTGACACAGAAGACAGAAAATATAAAGAATGGACAAAAAGGCTTTAAGCTGAAAGAGGGGAGATTTATATTGGATATGAGGGAGAAATCCTTCCCTGTGAGGGGGGAGAGGCCCTGGCACAGGCTGCCCAGAGAAGCTGTGGCTGCCCCAGAAGTGTTCCAGGCCAGATTGGACAGGGCTTGGAGCAGCCTGGGCTACTGTAAGGTGTCCCTGCCTATGGCAGGGGGGTGGAATGAGAAGAGCTTTAAAGTCCCTCCAAACCCAAAACATTCTGGGATTCTGTGAACTCCTGCACTGCTGAGAGAGGCCCACGGGCACTGTTTGAGGATTTGGAGGTGCAGCCTCCTTTGGAGGCACTTCTCAGCTGTATGAAGACCCACTGTTGCACTTGGGGTAATTCATGTGGTCTGGAGCTGCCACAGGGTTCGAGCAGCCAGTCCTCCAACTTGCCTGGTACAGAACCTGGAGAAGGGCACATCCCAAAGGAAGGAACTCTGAGGAAAAGATGAGTGTCTTCCAAGGGCTGAGCAATACCACCAGAGAGAGGTGCCAGTGAAGAACAGACATCAAATCATGTAAAACTGCCTGAGAATTCTCAAATCACAGCCCTGCTGGAGCCAGCCTGACTTTGGAACAACAATCTTTGTGCCCCATGGCAAGCTGAAGCTCAAGTGGCAGTGTTTGCTGGCTCTCCACACACAGGTATCTGCTTCACTGTCTTCATATAAAGCTAAAAACCACCTAAAAACATTTAGACACAGGGTATCTGCTCAAATCAGGTGTCACAAATGCCCTCAGTGACTGACTGAGACAGGCAATTATAGCTTCCAGCACTGGGCGAGTGGTTCCAGCTGGGATTCTGTGACAAAGCAGCTTAAATGAGCTCATTTTAGGAAGGAGAAGCACCTTGCCATGGTGCTCACCCTTGGAACTGGGTGTTCCCTCCACAGCTCACTGACAGCAGAACATGAGAACTGACACCTTGCTGCTTCCTGGGCAGGATGCCAGACACATCCAGCTGGAATTTCACATCTGCTCCAATTTGCCTTCTGGTGGCAATAATTTTATAGCTTTTTCTTCCCTTTTAGTTCTCACTTTTCACTTAAAAATATTTCAGGACCCATTCAGGTGAAGATGCAGCTGCTTTATATCTGCAAAGCTTTTGTCATTCATTTTAAAACCATCTAGACCAACTTTTTTCCAATTCCACTTGTCTGAAGCCTCCAATAAACCCTCAGACTTTACCAAGGCTGGTGTCACTGCCCCCACACAGGCAGGACCTCTGCAAGGGGTTTCTCCAAAGCCCTCAGACTCAACTCTTCCATCAAACCAAACCCTAACCAATCTAAAGGTGGCTCAGCATGCAGTTTATACCTGGATTTCGTAAACAGGTTTGGAGGAAGGAATAGCAGCAAATTCCCGGTAGTCAAACTTCTTTTCAGACATGGACTAGAAGGGACAGCAGAAGGGAAGAAACAGAGAAGAAAGTAAGGGGAGAGAAATGAAGGGAGAAGCAGCAGCAAGCTGAGCAATCTATGCAGAGATCACAGCAGAAGCAGAAGGATATCCTCGGGGAGAGCCAGGAGCGCCTGGGGAGAGCCTGGAACATGGGGTATCCCTGGGACACTGCCTTTGGAGCTGTTCCATTGTCAGGACAGGGGTTCCAAGTCACAGAGGAAACATCACATGCTCCAGTGAAATGCTCATGCACATCAAGTCAGGTAGGAAACCTATTTTCATTGGGAAATTCATGCTAAAATTCCTGATAGCTGGAGCACAGTCAGGGTTCCAATCCAGGGCTAGATTATGGTGTGATCTGGCAGGACCAGGTCCCCTCTGTGCAGCTGCTCCCACACTTTCCCTGGTCTGTCTCACTGATTCTGACAGTTCTGTGCAACAAAGTACCCTGGCATTTACACAGGGTTAGGAAAAGGAAAATGCTAATTGCAGTTGCAGGTCTGTAAGGTCTGTTTTATGCTGTTGAAGAAACACGGGGCAAAGTCCCTGAAGTGAAAGGCTTTCTGGACCTGGGAAAGTAGTTCTGAACATGGGGAAAGGCCTTCTGAAAAGGGGAAAAGCTTCTGGACCGTGGTAAAAGGCTTTCTGAAACCAAGGAAGGGCTTTCTGAGCATGAGGAAAGGTTTTCTGAACCCAGGGAAAGGCTTTCTGACTATGGTGAAAAGCTTTCTGAACATGGAGGTGAAGAACCAAGGAACAGATGACATAACACAATGGGGAAAGAGAAAGCAGATGTTACATGGGAGCTGCAACAAAGGCGGTGCCTCTAGCCAGGGGTACAGCTCCACCCTCCTCAGCATTCCTTGTACCATGCAGGACTGGCTCAAGTGGGAACCCACAGCCCAAGGCACAGCCCACACTCAGCCGAATAATCAGGAAATCCCAGGATTTAGGTAAGGTGAGGTGACAAAAGGACGTCATACCAGCCTTCCCGGGGACGTGACGTTCCTGGGGCTGCAATCTGGAAGAGGTGACAGAAAAGCAGAGTTAGTGACCAGCTGTGTG